CAGAACCTGTGTACGCCCATGACAGTACTCATGTTATGCCCTGCAGTACAATGTAAGTATAACCTGCGCTTTAACGTTTGCTCTTCTTAGGGCCATTTTTTTAGTACCAGTTTAAACTTAGATCACGTAAACTGGGTTTAAATTGAACAGCTGGCTAACATTTGATTGGCTAATCTTAGTTTAAACCATCCAGCTCGAGCGTTTAAACTAAGTTTAAATCACACTGGAAAACTTGCCCTTAGCTTCACAACCAAATATAAATACATAAGTACAAATAAGTAGGGACACGATATTGAACAGAATGTATCGATATGGTACACATTTAAAGTATCGCTTTAAAAATATCGGGTACCCATTAATATCGTAATAAAAAGACTCGATATTCCAAATATCGGTACCAAAATCCAAAAAAAATTATCTAAATATAGGTCTCGTATATAGGCCGCTGTGGTGTAATGGTTAGCAGTGCGCACAGCTTGAAAATGAAAAACAGCTTCCCATTAAGACCAAATCGCCGTTCACAGTCGACATAAAACTGAGGGACCCCTTTTGTGCCACAACATTAAGGCGCGCGCGACAAATCGGATGAGAATCTCGGTCAAACACTAACATATTGTGTAACAGCACGTAGAGATTGATGTGTTGACTTAAAACACCGAGGTCGCGGGGTCAAATTCCACTACATGCAATCCTAACTAATTACACATTTCTGCTCTTTAAAGCCCAATTTATATCGGGACGAATTGTTAATAACATTATCCTTGTAATGTGAGTTTATGACATTCGATACGATACTAGGGTTCTGGTCCTCGATTCCAAAAAATATCGTTTTTAATCTATCGAGTAGAAAATATCGGTATCGAATGCCAAAAGTATCGTAATGGTATCGTATGTATTTTTTTTTTCTCAAAAAAATGTATTAAAACAAGCAATTTTTAAGCAAGAAACAAAACCGACTTCAATTCTGATAAAAAAAATTTAAGAATAGATACTAAATTAATATTAATAATTAATAAATAAACTAAATTAGTACGGGATCACCTCTGTGGTACCGGTTAACGTGGTCCAAAGTTATCCGATAACATATGTACTAAAAAGTATTCTGATGAATTGATAACCCACTGCTTGTTTTGAATTCGGTTAAAATCCAAAAATTTATCAAATGTATGATTTTTTTTTGTAACAATTAAAAAAATTAAGAAAATGTATATTGAAACTGATATTTTGGGACGTATAATGCGCCCTTATTTATTTTTCTTGCTTCCTCAAGAATGCATAGGTTAGATTAAAATGGATCCAAAAAATTAGCTCATCAGTTTTTAGAAAAATATTTTCAGATCTAAAAACAGCTTTTCTTGAAATCCTACCTGATGGTTTTTCGAAAAAACTCGAAATTACGGTTTTGTTCGTAGTTGATGCACTTATCTGTTAACAGCTTGACTATATTTCTTCTGATTTTAAAAACCGATCATGTTTTGAAAAAAGGATTTATAGACCTTTAAAATGATGTATATAGTTACGGTGACCATAAATATGGATTCAAAATGAAGGACAATTTTTCAAAAATATGCCTACATATATTTACGTAGTACAAAAATATCAAAAGAGTATTTATGATTCTAAATTCTTAATACATTTTAAACTTCAAAAACGAATCACGTTTTCTTCATCGATATTAATCTTTTTTTACATGAATACTTATAAAAGTATAGTAAAATATATTATAATTACCATAGCTTACACGAAAAGTGAAAAGCTTTAAAAGATTATTTTATAGGCAAATTTTGAGTCGTTCAAAACGAAAACAAGACCCTTTTTTTGTTTTTTGGTACTTTTCGCAGTTATTTGTCAAAAATCGACGTCATGAATCGACGTAAAGGACGAGTTACAAAGGTATTTTGTGCCCTTTACAAAAATATATAATTTGTGCAGATTGCAGATGATACATATCCTTTATCGAATTTTTAAACTAATGAAAAAAATAATCAAATAAATCTGAGTATTTGATTGAAACTCTCACTTTTTTCGACTTTGACGACAAAATGCAAATGGTCGCCTGTAGCACTAATACTTTTCATTGAAGTCGCCACAAGTTATATATTTTGATAAGAGGCACATCAATACCCTTCGAGCTGTAAGTCGCTTACGTTGATTGGGAGATTTTTTCATGAGATATTGAAGAAAAGCTACGAAAAGTACCAAAAAACACTTTTTTGAAAAAATCCATCCATTGTCCGATAATTTTAAAATAACGAATAAAATGCGGGACAAATGCAGGACACTTGGAAAAAAATCAGTACATTTTCAGGTTTTTTAGGTTTGAAAAACTACGCAGGACCGACCTTTGAAAAACAGTACGGTCCTGCAAAAAACAGAACGGATGGTCACCGTATATATAGTTATACTTAGCTTTTGGGAAGTTTTCATCGGTTAAATTTTAATAAGCACCATCTTTCATGATTTTTTCAAATTTGACCATCGCTGATTTCAACAATTTCTATGAAAGCTGCCAAACATACAGTATTTACTTAAAAGAAAATTTATTTCCGAATAAATTGGTACCTCACCTAATGAAATTGCATAAAAATTGTCAACAAGTTATGCAATTTCAGCAAAAATACGGCCTTGAATTTATATGTGTTTGTATCGGACTTCAGATTTCATGACCACTGTGGCCAAGAAATTCGTCAATATTTACTAAACATGTATATATGCAATGGCTCTTAAGCAAAAAATTTACCTTTCATGCAATTTTAGGAAAATGGGAGTGGCACCGCCCACTTATATAATTTACACATATCTCAAAAACTACTTCAACGATCTCGACCAAATTTGATATACACATTGTGCTTAGCCTCCTTAAGCACCTGCTTGAATATTTTTGAAATCGGACAAAACCTACTCCCCCTAAAATATAGCTAGCTTTGAGTTTTTTAAAATTACCGTTATGTGCGTGGAAAGCGTAGTGCTTAAGGAGGCTAAGCATATTGTGTATATCAAATTCTATCGGGATTGGTCAAGTAATTTTTGAGATACGCATATATCGTATAAGTGGGCGGTGTCTCGCCCATTTTCTTAAAATTGTATGAAAAATAAATTCTTAATTAATTAATAGTCCCTTAAGAGTCACTGTATATATAATTTTTTATTAAATATTGACGAATTCCTTAGTCACACTGGTTAGGAAATCTGAAAGCCCGGTACTTACACATATAAATTCAAGGCCGCGTTTTTGGTGAAATTGCATAACTTTTTGAAAATTATGCCCTTGCATTAGATGAGGTACCTATTTTTTCAAAAATAAATGTTCTTTTAAATAAATACTACATGTTTGGCTACTTTTAATGAGTCAAACTTTCTGAAACGGGCCACTAAAAATTAAGTAGTAGAATTTTAAATATGTTTTGGCATATATTCAAAGGTCTATATGTGAAAATTAATTAAATTAAATGAATTTTTGATCTTCTTTCATCAATTTCATATATTAATTTCTATATTTCCGTAAATATTCAATTAAAAATAACCAAATTTTAATGGTGTATTCAGAAAAAGTAGCACAATCGAAAAATATGCATATTGGAAAAATTTTACNCGGCCAAACACTAACATATGTGTAAGCGCCAAACTATTATTATTATTATTCAGAAAAAGTAGCACAATCGAAAAATATGCATATTGGAAAAATTTTATTTTTTAATATTATTAAGTAATAATAAATTTCCCAATAAACAATTGACAATTTAACTGACTTCTCCTGGTGTTAAATAAAAAAAATATTTACGATCTTATTCTATAAAGTATACACTAACCATTCGTGCAAAAATATTTGAGTGCACTCTATCCCAGAAAAAAGTACGAATGTTTAAACATTACCGTGGATACGCGAAACCACTACCGATGTTGGAACGCAGCGCCGATAAACCTGGGCCCGTTCGTCGTTGCATGCTTATCTTTTTATCAACACAAGCATCTTTTGAATGATTGGTATTTTATGAATGGAACACTTTATTTAATTTTTTTACTTATTTAAAACGTTGATTTTTTTTTATATTTTTTACAATTACATATTCTGAGTGGCTTGAAAAAAATCTTTTATTCTAAGCAATTTGAAGCAGAGGGTTTTGTAGCAATTAAACTGACGTGTTCCCTTGATGGTTTTGGCTGTAGGAAATCGTTTCTCCAACACCTTCTCATGTTTTTTATATTCAGCTAAAGTAAAGAAAATCAAAATCAACTTTCTTGAAAAACCCGCGCGCCCATTCGAACAATTTTTGTGTCGAAAGAATAGTTTTGTCCTGTAGACTAGCGCAGTATGCATTTTTTATTTAACGCAGCCACCAATGCCATCGCAAGCTCCTGTGGGCAGTGACACTGATATACGCAATTCGCATTTGTTTAACGGACGCGTCGTCTGTACTAGCCCTTATGCTGACACCCGGTTCTGGCCAGACCATATGGATTTTTAAAACAAGTTTTCGTTAAGTAAATTATTTTGGATCGGGTTGATATTCCATGATATCCTAAAGTGACTATTTCTATAGAAGCTAAACATTAAAAATAAGAAAAAAAATAGAAAAAAAGTCATCATATCAGGGTAAAATATGTTATGACCCCGCATACGATACACTCCTGGTCTGGCTGGACCCTTCATTAAATCTCATACAATGAAGTATAATTTTGGGAAGTCGTCATTTTTTTCGTTCTTTCTTTTTTGAGTATTGGTACTGTGTAACGTATTTTGTGCGCCGCTGTTTTAAAATATAATTTACGCTGTTTTATGCAGCTTTTACTGACGTTCTTACTAGTCTAGTTTTCGGTTAACTTATAACAAGTCGGGCGGTAATATCGAATTTCAGTTTCGCAGAAAATAAAGTATACATAAATATGGAAGAAAACGGAAATTTCGAAGATGAGGTAGATGTGGCATATAACCTAAGACAACAAAAGCTGATAACAGAAGAAACGTATTGCTAACGCAATTTCAAACGCTAATGAACTAGATGCGAGTAAAGTAGAAAGCGTTCCATTTGATGTCGAAAATAACGATGGTGCGGAGTATGGGTCAGCCGAAGGATCGGATGCGGAAAACGAAATTGTTGTTGAAATAAACGCATTCGAAATAGATGAGGGCGATAATGATGATGACGAAGAAATCATTGATCAAGGGAATATGGTTCGATCAGAGGACACATTTCAGCAAGAAACAATATAGTTTTTCATGCAAAATATGGAACAAAATGGGCAAGAAGGATCCACCAAATGGTCAGATCCGTGCTCATAATATACTTCGACAAGTTAGTTGTGGTCCAGCTAATAAAAACTCAACACCAATTGAAGTGTTCCGCAAATTTTTTACTGATGAAATGATTATATTGCGTGAAACTAATCGCAAAGCAAAATCTGTATATGAAGAATTCAATCGCAAAAACCCAACAAAAAGTCAAAAAGTCAAAAAGTCTGGAAGGATGTTACAGCTGTTGAATTAGAAGCGTATATCGGTTTACTGATTATGGCAGGTGTTACTGGGAATAATTATCAACATGCAAGTCTGCTCTGGAAAACAAATAATCTTCCTATTTTTAGAGGTCTCTCAAGCGTTTTGGTGAAATAAGCCGTTATATCCGATTTGATAATGCCAACTCGCGTGAATACAGATTATTAACAGATCGAGCCGCACCAGTGAGCGACATATTATAGACCGCATGAATGTGTAACCATTGATGAACAATGTACCCTTACCGTGGCAGAGCAAAAATTATCCAATACAACCCTGACAAACCTGCAAAATACGGTTTGAAAATTTGGTGGGCATGCGACGCAAAAACCCATTTTCCAGTTGCAGCAATTTTTTATACTGGTAAAGAACCTGGTGCTGAAAGAGCAGTCAATCAAGGTGAGAATGTTTTGCTCCAGCTCGTTTCACAGTTTGTGAATTCCGGTAGAACAATATGTGCAGATAATTTCTTCACAACATACAATGGATGTATTCGTCTAATGCGTTCTGGATTGAGTTATGTTGGTACATGCAGGTCTAACAAGCGGTATGTTCCGGAAGAATTCAAGAAAAATAAGAACCACCAACCTTGCAGCTCTGTGTTTGGTTTCAATGAAGCTAATGTTGCTCTTGTTTCATACGTTCCTAAAAAAACAGAAGCGTCATTTTGATGTCTATAGTTCATTACGATTCAAATATTCCAGCATTGTTGCGAAATGGAAAGGCAAATGAAGCTCGTAAACCAGAAGCTATTCTGTTCTATAACGAACATAAATCTGGCGTAGATTCAATGGATCAAAAATTGGCCCGTTACTCATGTAAAAGACGAACAATTAGATGGCCATTAGCGTTTTTTTACAATATGGTAGACGTAATGGCTCTGGCTACGTTTATTTATTGCAATTCGAGGGCGCGTTTGACAACACCTCACATACTGCAATAAACAGTGCTTTGATTAGCAGGGGGTAAACAATACCCTCGTAGCCTGGATTAAGTGCATGCTCCGCACCAGAAGGGTAGAAATACAAACCTGTACGAATAATATGGTTGTTGCCGGAACAACAAGGGGCTGTCCACAGGGTGGAGTGTTATCTCCACTACTATGGAATATAGTCGTCGACGGACTGCTCCAAGAGCTAACAGATACTGCACTAACCTGCCAGGGGTACGCCGACGACATTGTAATATTATGCAGGGGGAAATTCGAAAACACCCTGTGCAATCGAATCCAGCTAGGGCTGAACGTAACAAAAAAATGGTGTGCTAAAGTGGGGCTGAACGTAAATCCAGCAAAAACCACTATAGTACCATTCTCAAGGAAATACAAACTTGATAGTCTAAACGCGATAAGGCTAGATGGAACCAACATCATGTACCAAAAAGAGGTTAAATTCCTAGGAGTAATACTAGACCAAAAACTACTCTGAAAAGCACACGTGGAAGAAACTACGAAGAAAGCTGTAGGATCATTTATGACGTGTAGGTCCATGGCAGGAAAGAGTTGGGGCTGCACACCAAAGATACTGAGATGGATCTACACGACAATAGTACGACCCATGATAACTTATGGAACCATCGTTTGGGCCGATAGAACTTCACAACTTGGAGCAATCAAAGTGCTCTCCAAGATACAAAGGCTGGCATGGGTATACATAACGGGAGCCATGAGAACCTGTCCAACCGCATCCTTGGAGGTTTGATCTTACCCCTCTTCATATTTACATACAGACTCAGGCGAAAAGAGCTTTAATACGGATGACTGGTACCAATATCGGGGCAGCAGGGTGTTTTGGTCGTGGGAAGTTAGATATTCTTACGAATAAGTCCCTGAAATTGCAATACCGAGGGATACCATGCATCCGAGGTTCAGCTTTACAAAGAGGTTGAATACTGAACTGAGTAATAAGAAGAGCTGGGCAGGCATATCCGAAACATATCGGATAAACCAAAATATGATTACCTGGTACACTGATGGCTCATTGACCGACGAGGGTAACGGGATAGGGGTAGTTGGACCGAGGTTAAGATACTTGGAACCCATGGGGAAACATATGTCTATTTTCCAGGCTAAAACATACGCCATAGAAAGATGCGCGGACTTTAATATCAAGCGAAACTACCGGAATCAGAACATCGCGATCTTGACTGACAGCCAAGCGGCTATCAAGGCCCTCAGATCTCACCAGGTAACATCTAAACTGGTGATGGAGTGCCTCGACAAGCTGAATACTCTTGGTCTGACCAATCGGGTTTGGGTTCTCTGGATTCCGGGACGTATTGGTATTAAAGGAAACGAGATTGCCAATAAACTAGCGAATAAAGGTGCATCAACCCCTTTCACCGGTCCAGAACCTTTCTGCGGCTTGGGAAAAGGGGCACTCTCTGACCTAGTTCGGCTAGAGGAAGAAGCTCAGAGGAATCACTACTGGGATAATCTACCAGGTCTAGAGCAGTCCAAAGCACTTTTAGGAACATATAACCTAAAAGGCTTCAAGGAATGTATGAACTTATCAAAGAATAACTTAAGAATTGTTACAGGAATCCTGACAGGACACTGCAGGCTGAACTATCACCTGACTAAACTGGGAATTTACTCGCATGAGGGATGCAGATTTTGCAGGATGAAAAACGAGACTGCACAGCACATCTTAGAAGAATGTCCTGCACTGATGCATAAACGCAAAAGGCATGAAGGGGCACAATAGATCTTAAGGTCGCAGTGCTCTATCCCCAACAATAATAATAATCGCACCAAAACTAGCATAAATATTATCTTATTCTTTGTATGTATACATGTATTAAATAAATGTATAACATAAGAAAAAACTTAAATAAATGAAACAACGGAAGAAAACCATATATACAAAATCTTTTTCTTTATACTACTACTACTACTACTAATAATAATAATAACTATATTTTATAACTAATCACTTCTACTTATCAACTTAGCAAATTATATCTGCATTTCTATACATTTTATATGGAGGTCTGGCCAGACCATGGGTGTACCATATTGCACTGGGTGTCAGCATAAGGGCCAGAGGTGTACAATATCAGAAATGCAGTAATGAATCAAATTCACTTGGCAGTAAAAAAAAAGTGAAATCAATGCTTGCTCGCCATCAAAACAAACACTGTAGTGTCGCTGCTAACTATAACTCCTGCAATGACAGTATTTGTTTGCTTACTGCAAGTACTGATTTACACTAAAGAGAGCAAAGTAACGGGGTAGTACAGCGAGTGCAGTAAAAAAGTTGGGTGTGAAGTGAACGGCAGCAGTGTGTTCCATGTTAGTCATTTTGTGTTAGTACGCCGTGATACTAGTATCAAATATTATTTTATAAAAAGCATTTCAAATAATTTATGCACACCTCTAGTCTGTACTCAAGATTCTCAGAATGTAGGAACCTCATGATTTCGAAAATAAATTTAGGCACTGAGATTTCAATAATTATTAATATAAAGAATTAATCGTAAGAATTATTAACATATGTAATAATAATATACCTATACGCTTTTTAAAACGTAAGCATGCAACGACGAACGCGCCCAGGTTTATCGGCATTGCGTTCCAACGTCGGTTGTGGTTTCGCGTATCCACGATAAGGTTTAAACATTCGTACTTTTGTATGTGCACTAAAATATTTTTGCACGAATTGTTAGTGTATACTTGAGAGAATAAGATCGTAATTTTTTTTGTTTACCTCAAGGAGAAGTCAGTTAAATTGTCAATTGTTTATAGGGAAATTCATTATAATTTAATAATATTAAAAAATAAAATTTTTCCAATACGAATAATTTTTTGGATTCTGCTACTTTTTCTGAATACACCATTAAAATTTGGTTATTTTTCATTGAATATTTACGGAAATATAGCAATTAATATATAAAATTAATGAAAAGAAGGTCAAAAATTCATTTATGAATAAATTTGTGAAAAATTGAAATTTTCAAAAATATTTTAAGATATTAATTTTCACATATAGATCTTTGAAAATCTGCCAAAAATATATTTGAAATCTACTACTTAATTTTTAGTGGCCCGTTTCAGAAAGTTTGACTCAATAGAAATTTTTGAAATAGGGCCTAATTAAAATTTTAACGATGAAAACTTCCAAAAGCTAAGTCTAACAATATATTGTTATACATCATTTTAAAGGCCTATAAATCCTGTTTTCAAAATACACCGATAGAGCAGCTGAATTGAAGCGCGTGTCTATCACTTTCGCACCAAAAATAACCAACGGCCTAAAAACAGCATTCCAAAGGAACAACATGCAAATAGCGCACTCCAACCTCTTCAAATTGAAAAATCATTTCAAAAGCCTAAAAGACAGAACAGACCCACTAGACAAAGCAGGCGTCTACAAAATATCATGTTGTTTCTGCGAAAAAAGGTACTATGGATAAACCAAACGCACTATCAAAAAGAGATACAGCGAGCACAAACAATGCGTCGAAAACAATGACCCGAGACGATCTGCATTCGCAGCGCATGTATTAGAGCATCAGCGAGCAAAGTGCAGCTATTAAAACATGTACACGACGAAAGAAAACTTGACGCCTACGAAAACATGTATATTTGTAATGACACATCGGCGATGAATCTAGACAAGGGGAATATCGAATCGGATTTGTTTTGTTTGCGCCGACGGCAGTCACACTAGTTTAAGCTTCGTATTTATGTAATTTGTCTTTGCCATTTGGCACTTTTG